TAATAGTTCTTAAAAACTTACCAATTAAATCACGTGAGAACTGATAATCTTCTTGTTGCCTCAATAATTCGGCCATAACAAGCAGGCTATCTAAGTGATACGGACATTGTGTCAAGATATTCTAAATCCATATTCATTAAAATCACTGTATGTCTAATCGACATGTTAATATAACAAATAAGAAAACAATTCGATTATTAACATCGAGATCATACTGGAATTCAAAATTGCATGCCATACTTTGATTTCTATATTCATATAAAGTTCATTATTCAATAACGATATAGTTATAAGAACCAATGTTAATGTGATTTTAGTAGTGATAAAAGTAACAACGATATATTCTTGAATCGTTTTAAAAATCTTAAGTTAAAAGCAGACCGATATGAAATTATGATTGAGTGATTCTGACGCTATCCAAAAAGTTTGCTGTAATTCACGATAATAAGCGTGATGCGAAAATTTGAACCAAAATATATCACCTTCGGTGCGATCTAATTCCATTGATAGACCTTACAATAGATGAATAATATAGTTTTTTCTTGAAGGAATGGGAAAGAGGAGACTGACATTAAAATAAATTCATTTTATATACTTAAGTTCTCAAAACTGCTCAATGTATGAAAATGAGTCATTACTCATGTGAAAATCCGCTGCATTCTACAAAAACTGGTATAGAGATAGAAGAATTCTTTCATATATATCTAATTCTTGAATATCGAAAAATATTTTTGAATCTTTTCGATCCGAATGGATTATTTGTTTCATTATATATATATTATGATAAATATAGAAAAATTTTAACATTGATTCGCACGATATAAAAGATTTTTTCACATAATGTAAAAGAACCTATGTACTAAAACAGGCGAAATAGTGAATTAAGCAGGTAAAACAGAAAGCCATATCCAATAATAAATTTGAAAAGTCTTACCAACATTCTTAACTTCTGGCCAAGTTGGTTTCTTTTTCACTATCTTGCCAAAAATCATTCGCCCACGTTGAACTGTATCTGTACTTCTTCGACCTAAGATTGAGCGCAACTCATTCTCCACATTCAGCATCCTACTATCAATCTAAAACAGTCACTGTATCCCTTAACTACATCAACTTTTAGACTTCCGCTATAAATAAAAAACATTCGGAATTTAATACTTAATTTGATCACAATCAGTTCGTGATCAGCTGATTCCTTCTGTTGATATAAATTATTACTTCCTTTCAATCACAAATGCTCTGATCAGTACTCAACTCATATGAGAAAAAACTTCCTCATACCGAGAAAAATATTTTCACTATATCGTCATTATTAGCATATTAATTACAGTTTTTTTAAATGAAAAACCGTTTGGAATAGTGTTATTTTATGAAAACAATGTAGTCAGTCAAGGACACGTAAATAGAAACCTTAAACAAATCTTTTTCAAACATCTCATCCTTGAGTTTCGAAAGGCGAAGTTTTCGTCGATGGAATTTCAAGATGCGTAAACGATTATTTATATTCATATAATGCACTTTTTTCTTTTCTTTCTTTTCTTTCTTTTTCTTCTTTATTATTTTTTTTTCCTTATTTTCAGATCTCTCCTCTACCAACAGTTCTTCAATTGACCCTGAACTTTCATCGCTTCCTTCTCCAGATTTTTCAAGGAACTCATACCTGGAAAAGGCAAACAGTAACCAAATCACATCGAGACTTTCTGGCTTCATTTAACAAACAGAGATGAATAGAAAAATAAGAAACTATGTAAAGTTTTAATTTTATCCATTATTAAGCAAGTTAGAGGTTGACTCTAATTTCCTGTGATATTGATAAAAAAACACTAGTCGGTATCAGCTTTTAAATCAGTGCACTGACAAAAGGATTTCCTCAAATATGTGAAACAAAAAACTATTACAAAAAACAAGAAACTATAACTGAAACAAGAAACTATAACCTATTACATACAAATGCTCCCGACCCTTCTTCTTCACTTGCCGATTCGAAGCCTTCCTCCTCTTTTCGGACCGGTGATTTCTCCTCTCCAATTATCTTTTTTTCTTGTAAATATCGCCGCAAATGTTTTGTCGACATAATGATATTATCGTTCACAACTGTAATAAAAATTTCTCTGAATACCATTTAATTTCTTACAGAGTTCCATTCCTTTTCGCTAGTCACCGCTGCTATAAAAACTGATAATAAACCGAGAAATTCGTCTTCCTCGGGGAGAAAAATATAACATATATTAAGCATATTCAAATTATCAAGTTTTGTTGCCTCTTCACTAAAATAAATCCTTCTATATTTGACGTTAATCTGAAATCTCCCTTCCGTCATCTGCAATCCCGACATCTCAGATTACAAACACTCGGACCCACCCTGCTCTCACCCACTCACAACTCAAACCCTTCCAACAATTACCGCGAGTATGATCCCACTGAACAGAGCCTGTTGTGCGAAGTTTATGATTTGGGAATATGACTATTGCAGCTGAATTTTGGGTTGACAGGTGGGGACAGTTTTTCATCGATTGGTAAGCCCTCGGGGTATCCCCGGTGTTTCGTATTACTTACGGATGGAATTGTCGCATCTATTTGACAAGCAGATTATACTCATTGTGTTAGGCTATTTCAGCTTTTAATCTATGTAATAATAAAATTAGAATAGATTTTACTTTCAAATGATTATACGTTTTTTTGGTGGCTGCTTATGCAAATTTGTGTTCTTGGTTAGCTATGTGTCCTTGAACTGCGCGAGAGTAGTTTCACTCTCTTTGGATTTTTAAACTTTTGCAAATAGATTTTGCAGCAGGTTAGGTATTTTGCGATTGGATGTATCAAATTTTAAATTTTCCTTTATAGGCGACAAAATGGCCCCGAAAGGGAATAATATGATACCAAATGCACACTTCCACAAAGACTGGCAGAGTCGCGTGCGCACCTGGTTTAATCAACCAGCGCGAAAAGAACGTAGACGGCGCAATCGATATAAAAAAGGGCGACTGATTGCACCTCGGCCTATTGCGGGTTTGTTGAGACCAGCAGTACGTTGCCCTAGTATTCGATATAATAAAAAAGTGAGGCTGGGTCGAGGATTTACTTTGGAAGAGCTGAAGGGGGCTGGGATTGGAAAACGAGAGGCTCGTACTATTGGCATTGCAGTGGATTACCGACGTACAAACCGGTCATTGGAATCTTTGCAGGTATCTTTCCTTGGGTAATTTTTTGTGCTAAGCTATAAGCAGTGTTAATTGAAGTCAGTATTACATTTTCTTCTCATGTGGCGTAGTTGGGAAGAATTCGAAGTTTCTCCGGGTATAGTCTTAAATGGCGAATCATTTTTTATAAAGTTGAAGTATATAGATAAGTTATTGGGTTTGTCTAGTTTCGAGGCAAGATTTTATTTTTTTTTCAGCAAAATGTCAAACGCTTAAAGGAATACAAGTCGAAACTAATATTGTTCCCGAAGAAATTAAATGCGCCCAAGAAAGGAGATAGTACCGTGAGTGTTCGCATTTATTTTTCCTTTTTTTCTCGCATCAGGTAGAACATGTGGTAGCCTTCGAACTCAATGGGAGATTGATTTGTAGGCTGACGAACTCAAGCTAGCTACACAGTTACGTGGAGTGATCCTACCGGTCAAGCAGGTTGCTCGCCGCGAGAAGGCCCGCAAAATAACTGACGAAGAAAAGAAATTCGAAGTGTACTGTCATTTACGTCGTCTCCGCGCTGACAAACGTTTGAAAGGTGCTCGTGATAAAAAAGCTCGTGAGGTAACGGAAGAAGGTATTAGTGGTGGCAGACGATAACTTGTTTTCCTTTGAGGACAGCAATTTGGTTGTATTTTACTTGTTTTTGATAAATATTACTGTTGCTCTTTCTATTATGTTGAACATATTCATACAATATCCTACAATTTTAATGCTAATTTCTTTTTTAAAGGCATGAAACAACTTGGGGATTTAAAGTAACTTTTTTTGCTATGCTGTCCTCATCGGGGCTGTATGCATCGCAGAGGTGAGATAAACATATCGTTTATTTTGTGCTTCTTCGCCTGGAGTAAATGGAGTAAATAGCTGATATCTGAAGAGATTTTGTGTATACTTCCACAATGCCGGGCTGTAGACTACTTAATTTGTTTTATTCCATGCATATGGTAATAATAGTTCGGAGGTTATAATAAACGGTGTGAAGTTTCAAATGTTTTTCATTTTAATAAAAAATCGTTTGAATGGAATAGGAATGCCGATTATGAAATAAGATTAATTTTCATGTGAACAATTTTCAAGGCATAAGATTACAAATGATACATAGGAATACCATCGAAAACATGAATTATTAAGTATGGTTCTTTGTTTTGCTTTGAAAAAAAAGTTTGGGACTTGGTGAAAGGATTAGATGCAGATACAGTGCAAAACGTATGAGTCATTATTTTTTTAAATATACAGAAAACGAAGGACTACAACATTTTGGCACAAATTTTACTTTTGAACAGGAGCAAACGGATGAGATGAAGGGATATGACTAGAAAATTCAGAAATTTGCTAAAAATCAACAGCTCTAGTGAGAATTATGTTTTAGTCTTTGCTAGATTGTTTGCCCATTCCAAATACTGTAATATTTGACCAAATTACATTGAAATTAAAGAGGATGATCTGTAGGCATGTTTTCCAATTATAATTAGTTTCTTGCAGTGAATTTCGTCCATTTTTTACAAGATTAGAAATTTTGCCATAGCTGAAATTGCTACAGAAATCTTCGTTGATTATTTTATAGTGCAAATCTAAGAAATTGTACAAAATCGCTTTTCCTGAATATAGAAATTTTATCATACGACCAAACATTATTTGCTAATTAGCTAAACAGATACATTTTGATATTGCAAACATTGATGCAAACTGTTCAGTGAAATATGAGGACAGCCAAATATGATAATAACCTCCTCCACAAGCCATTCTTTGCCGCAACAAGAAAAAATATGCCTCATTGTCTATCTGAATTGAATTCAATGTTTCATGCAATTTCACAACTATCATCGATCTACCGGCAAATGTTATATCAATCCAATCAGCTGGCTGCTGATAAAAGGCTCAGAAAAAAATGTATTTTGTCATGAATAGTTTGAGAGATCATTGAGTGTTTTTATGAACTTTATCATAAGTATCCTTATTCTTATAGGCTGCTACATAACCGGTTTGCTCGACGATATCCTCCCTGCCAAGTTTCCCACGTCCTTTACCTTCAGCATCAAAGCGTTCCTTATGTGAACCGGTATATTTGGTATGATCCGTTAAGCGATTGTATACACCATCAGCAGATGCTTTAGCAACGCCTTTCAGTGATGGAGCTTCTAATTTTGATAATTTTTCAATGATGATGTCCAATTCTTCCTAAAATAAAAGAAATTTCGAGATGAATGGAAATCTGGAGAGGATTGGATGAAATATATGTGGTAGTGATAGAGAATTATATGATACAATATTTCCAAAAGTTGAAAATATTGGTGAAATTTTCTTTCTTCACATTAACCTTCTTTATTATATAAAGCGATTGATCGATTGCTTCCCATTGGTAATTGAGGAAGCGGAAAATTTGACAAATTGAATAGAATAACTATTCATTGGCTTAGCTTAAAATGGCAATGTTTAACAGATCAAAGAAAAAAATTCGAAAAATTAAATTTGATTTTCTCATTAATACGAAATTCATGATTAAATTTTATTTATTGAAATCATAATTAAATTTTATTGAAAATTAGCACGACATAAAAAAGAAGCGACTTTAGGATTAATCCAATTTTGAAATAAGTTACTTGTGGATCCTTTTTGGTTGTTCGTGCTCGATCTTCCGCTACTGCTACTAATACGTCTTTCGTCTCGTTGAAATTTGCCTTTTTTTTTGGTCTAAAATTCATAAAATATATTAAAAGAAGCGATCCATTTTTAAAATGCAAACAAATGCGGTGTCATCAACTTTTACATATAGCTATCAAAAAGCGAAACTCGATGTTCCGGATAATTTCGTTTCTATCCTCTATTAAATATTGTTGATATGACTGATCATTGAACGCCAAGGAACTCAAGGCTAATATTTCTTCCAAAATAAATTTCACATTTTTGATATCACACATATTAAAAAGATGACCTTATTTTCTTTGAGTAACACTAAAGCGCATATGATATCTGTAGAAGACATTTTCCCTTTATAGTACCATCCGCGGACATTAGTCGTCTGTGTGGTAAAATAAGATTTACAAAGGTAGAGAGAGGAAAAGTGAAATTGAAAGCAACATTGTAGTCAAAGGTCATGTTATTTTGAATGAGTAAGAAAAGGCTTTATAAATATTGCACCAATTTAAAAATTAGCAAAGAACACTTCTTGACCCGGTAATTTTAGAAAATGCGATTCCGGTCATTGTTGTTGTAATGTTTTTGTTATCAATCACTCCACCATCTTTCAACCATTTATCGAAATTCTTCCCTGTCATTTCCACCGCTGATGCATTACCAAATTTCACGAAACCTTCCCATCTATAATTTAGTTGCTAATTAATCGATGATTGCATTAATTGCTCGTAAATAGAAGTGACAGCAATTTTACTTAAACGTAACAAATACTGAGCAAACAGATAAAAACTCCATTTGTCAACTGCTATTACTAAACAAGTATCATTCTGAATATTCATCAAACTCATATATCGAGATTTTTTTTTCATTAAGCAAAACAGACAAATCGTTTTTTTTTTACTTTTTCAAATGAAATGCTGAATTTTCGATAAAAAATAGTTTAGTTATCAACGGCTAAAAATTATAAAACAATTAAGAATAATTTTAAAATTTAAAAAAATGATAATAAAAATTCATAGAAGATTAAAATTTCCTATCTAAAACGGTGTCATTTTTCAAATTTTTTGTCAATTCTGCCCTCCACAATCATCTCATGGATTTATACATATCACTATCTTCTTATTATTGGCATATAAAACATACTCTTCAATAAAAACAATTTTTATATGAGCAAAAAAAGTTACTTACCGATGCTTTATTTCTTTCCCGTCCCATTTGAATTTGTATTCCTGTTTTTCGGTCATCTTCCTTTTTTGTCTTTTTTTTTGGTAAAAACCCTAGAAGAACTGAAATATCTCAGAAAAGCTTTCTGGACTACTAACAAACGAAAGAGAAGCAAAATGACGTAAAGATAAAATAAAATGAAATGATAATGCAAAGAGCAAAAATTTCATAACAACAAATGAGCGGAAATCGTGGAAATCGATAATCGTGTCATTCGAATTGACAATAAAAACTGGAGCTAAAATTTGACAATGAGGATTGTCAAACCATCAAATTATGTCATTTTTTCCTCCATTAGTAAAGAATTTGAATGGAGAATGAACAAAAAAATGCTGCTCAATCTTGAATTTTAACTTTTGCAATTTTCAGAGAGCACTGAAATGTTTTCTAATAGCAAAATTATTCTCAACTAAGGTTGTTTTTATTTCCCTCACATTTTATAAGCATCTTTTATGCAAATGGTGAAAACTATTAAGTCTTGTTATAAAAGCAATCCTTTTTAATGATTTCCGCTTTTTTCCATAAATAGCTCATGTTTCATTTCGATTCATACATTCATAACTATTCCAGAAATTTAAAGCCTTCAAAACATAACTGAATAGAAAATTTAATAGTGCACTCCGAATATGAGAAGATACGTTTTAAATTGGCTCACGTAAAAGAAAATGAATATTCATCTCAGGTTAAAAGTAACAATGTGTAAATTTGAGTGAGAAAAAAATGATCTCTGCCTTTATCAAACATAAGTTATTATTACACATTATATATGTAAATAAGTAAAGCGTAAAGGTTTTCCATATGAAAACTTAATAAGCCTTTACTTTGCAAACATGATGGAGGAGAAAAAGCAGCCTTTTTTTTTCTTTCACTTGAAGCAAAAATGAAATTGCACTTTAGTAAATTAATGTAAGTACTTTTTCCTTCTATCAACGAAGATGGATGAAATCAATTATTTCAATTTCATCCTCACTTCTTTCCACAGAATGTTTCATCGTTTAAATGAAAAAAAAGCATCACTATCATCTCCCACTGGAAATCAAAGTACGCAGAGGAAAAAAAAATTGTAGCGGAGAATAAACATAATTACTAATTCCTTATAATACTAAAATCTTAATGTTAGAGAATAGATACTATTAATTGCTTTTATGAAATTTTCAAAAAAAAAAAACTAAAATCACTTTTACGTATTTTGCATATGTACATGTTTCTTTTTTTGAAAAATAAATGAAATTAATGAGTTTGAGAAGCGTAAAAAAGCCTCACATATCAATTTTGCTTTTCATAGCAGCAGTAATTATTTTTTAACTCAGGAAGTAGAAAAATGGATTTTTCTTTAAAATCTCCTCACTGTTTCCGCTCTCTCAAATTTATAGGTATTCCATTATTTAGTGTTTGGTAAGCACTTGTAAAAAATTAATTCAAAGGACTTTTTTTTTTAAATCTGTACCGAAATCGAAAAATGAAATAAAAAGATTGTAATGGGACGAATTTTTGAGATGTTAAAACTTCGTTCCTAAATTATTTGTTGTGCACATTTACTTTTCCATTTAATATATGATCGGAAATTTCGACAGTTCAAATAAAAATTTTGTTAAAAATTCATGATATTTTGAAAAATACTCTCAATGCTGGGAACAATAAGTTGAAATGTAAAATTTTCGACATCCCTGCAATGAACTTTCATTAGGTTGTTGAGAAATAAATGCCTCAGTAATCGAGTTAAAATCTTTTCATATATAACATAAAATATTTGGGCAATTATGAATGTTCGTCCATGAACTCGGTAGTAATGCTTTTGTAAAAACTACTTCATTGCAGTAATAAAGTTCATAATTTAAACATTTGCAAAATTCATATCAAAATAATTGTGAAATTTATAGTAGAAATCATAGGAGGAGATAAGTTTAGCAGATTGTCACAAATCATAACAATGGATTTTTAATAAGCTAAACAATCTGTTAATTTTAAATTAAGTGATAAGTGATGATGAACAGAAATGAATAATTTATTCAGATGGAAGGATGTAACTGACTGGAAGAAAATTTAGCATATAACAAAATATTTGGGCAATTATAAATGTTCGACTTTGAACTCCTTCCTGAAATAAAGGAAAGAAATACTGTGATGCAAAATTAAGTATCGGTAACCGTTTCATAAAATAAGCCTATATATTGTAAGGTAAATAATTTTTAGATGAAATGAAATATTTCGGTCATAACAGATTGAACTTATCGATACTGCCGGAGGGCTTAAGTGTGTAAATTATTGCCACCGAAGATGAGTGTGCTAAAAAGAAGTTAAGAATTACTTATTTAATTCCAATCACTATTTAATTTTTTTTCGATTTATGAATCCAAGACGTTTTCTGGATTAATAAAATTGGCCTAACACTGTTTTTTTTTTGTTTCACACTGTATCAAATGAATAGCAAACAGTATAATAGTGCAGATGTACGTTGTACAGTTAACGTTTTGACGTAGGTCACTGATGTGTATTACATATTCATTTAATTAAAATTACCTAGCAAAAAATTATTTTATTGTTTGGTATGAAGAAGAATAATTAATTGGTTCACAAACAAATTTCATTCCTATTCATTATTATAAAAACGATGTAAACGATGGAGGTGGAGAAAGTAAAAGAAGTGTAAACAGTTAGCATTAAATTATGAGCATTCCATTGAAATCATATGATAAGGAACGAACAAATAAATAAATGATGGAAAATTTGAAGCGATCAGCTTTAATTTTAATTTTTACACATTGAAATTTTTTAAATTAAAATTGCAGCATATGTGTGTGTGTGTGTGTGTGTGTACATGTCGACACGTACACACACATATATACACATACATACATAACACACATACATACACACACATACATAACACACATACATACACACACATACATACACACACACAATGACTGCATATCGTTTGTTTTGTTGTGATTGTTCAGAGTCGAGACTTGTAAAGCAACGGTTATCGACTAATGGAAAATGAAATTTTGAATTACGCATCGCTAAAAGCATTCAACTGTTAAGGAATGAGAATATTTTTTCGAAAATGAAAAAATAAGTGCCACAGAAGGAAAATATATTCATTATTTATTGATATTTACAAGAAATAATTAACACTTTTCCTCCATCATCTTTTCATCTATTCGAATTCTATTTTCTCATTTCAAAGCGAAAGTTAATATCAAAGTGTGCCGCCATATTCTACCAAATATTGTTTATAATCGATTCAGAAAAGCAATGAATTCCATTACTGTCCGCTTAATCCTACTTTTAGTCAAAATGTCACTGTTACAGGTCAAAGGATTCAGTGTAAAAAAAAGACGAACAAAAATATGCAGAAAAAGTAATTCTCATACAATTTGAAAAAGACATTTGACTTTTAATTTTTTGATAAAAATGAGGAAGTGGGAGAAGGAAGAAGAGAGGGTCAGTATGAAAGACAACAATTAGTAATAAATTTGATTAATGCGTTTATGAATTGGCAGCGAAAGTTCGCTTTGTTAGTAATGACCTCTGGTCATAAATAGTTGCAAGTATTAATAATAAACAAGATATTTCCATTTTATCCGGGATTTCTCTGACAGTGCCGATAAAATTTCTGTCAAATATTAAAATATGAGATTTAAAAAATTGAAGAAGCAATAAAATTAAATTGCGCGCATAATTAATGTCAATTTTTTAAGTTTTGAAGCATTAAAAAATTGAACAAATAAATAAACAATTGCGACAACATCCTTTATTGATTGCATAAAAAAAGAACAATTTAGCAGAAGGAATAATTTAGGAGATTCCGCCAAATAACAATCTCCTGTAATAGACTGAAGCAAAGACTGCCAAGTGAATTCGATATACTGATAAAACGGTAAGTTGTCCTTTATCAGCCTTTTTGCACTCTTTCCCTTTGGAATTTATCATCAGTGCCACCTTTTTGAATAAGCAGTACGTAGGATTATTAGTAATAGAGATAAATAGAAAAAAGGCTGGGGCAGACGAAGGAGAGTCAGGCTTGGACAGATGAAGGAGAGCTTAGGCTTGGAAGATGAAGGCGAACCTAACCTGTGACAATGGGAGTGCAGCTAAGAAATGTGCTCATAGCGTGCATTTCTTCGCTGCAATTTCAATCATTTCAGTGAGGCTCTTTTGCTACAACGTTAGAGTACCGCCCAGATGAGGCAGAGCTTCAATATCGGAAATCCAGAAATGCATGGCTATTGAATTGTTTGGCCCATGGACAACAAGCTGCTATCAATCATAAAGGGATTGTTCCTCATTCATGTTAGCAGCATAACTCAGTTCAGACTCATTTGTTGGGAAAAGATCAGCCAAGGAGTGCTGTATGATCTTGGGCCGCTGATAAAAAAATTATTATAAATTGAAATTTTGTTGTTGCATTAGTGTACTATCAGGAAATCAGGATATTCCCAAAGCAAATGTACAATATCACTTATCTATAATCTTATGATAATAGATTAGAAGATATTCAGGTCGTTGCAACTAAAATCGATGCGACAAATGAAATCCTTGGGGTATTCTGACATAGATAGCATTAGTTATGTTGGTGACAGTGGTCATAAAAATATGGCGACAGCACTGCCAACATCACTTATTTCTTTGATCATTTTATTTCTGACTTATAACTGATTGATACTTTATGATCGGTCAATTGCGGTTACGACTGAAGTCAGTAGGTGAAATTTTGTTCCTATGGGATCTGAATTTTTGTAAAAACGTGGAAAATACCACTCCTCGAATATAACTGATGCTGCCAAGCAATCACGTGATTCACGCACTCAAAATTGAGCAAAGCAAAAAAAATGTGTAGATCAATACGAATTAGTATTGTTATACTTCATTAATCATATCAAATCATGCTAATTAATTTGCAACAAAAAAATTGAATTAAAATAAGTTATATTTTTGTAAAAAAATTAATTACAAAAATCCAACGAATGCATTAATTCGTAGCACACAACTTGAAATAATTTCGAATTTGACCTGTAATCTCTTCGTTCTACCACAATGATATAAATGAAATCAATAATTCCATTTCAGATTTCCCACAAACACTAAATCGGCTCTTTCATTTACTAGTAATATCAAATATTATGAAATTTATACCCTTATCAGTTTTCACTTCATTATCAAATACGAATATAACAAAAAACGAATAAATGATTTAATTCAGTTATTGTATAATGGAATGAAGTAAATGATTAAATATGCTAATCATCCAATCAAGGTAATCAATAAATAAAAGTAGCTGTTAGTTTGCAAAGCACCATTACTAGTGCTATTATTGCTCGTTATTGTTGTTGCTAAGGCGGATTGATAGTTCTGTTTTCATCAACTCCATTCATTGGCTATCACATTGTTGCATACCAAATGAAAACAGGTTGAATTAATCCCACCTTTTCCACCAAATATCTCAACATCAATTACTCTCTTTGCCACTCCGTTATTTTAATAGAAACGAGTTCAATCAAACAGTATTTACAATTAAAAAAGTGTTTCGTGAATTAACAATAAGTGTTGAAATTTATTGATGAAAACACAAAATAATTGATATTTCTCACTGGGAAAAAGTATTCGAGATATACGGAATGAAATGATAGATAGATGGGAATTGAAAAATTGACGAGGAAATAAGTAGAGTAAAAAGTACAAAACGATTTGTAAAATTGATGTGTGGGAGGCATTTAGTGTAAAATACGCCCAATTGTTTTGTTAAAAGCGAAATGAACGGAATACTCTGACAGCTAAGATGAAAAATTTGTGTTCTGTATTTTTATATTTTTGAAAAATTTAACCAGTGATAATTATACTATTTTCCTGTTCAACATTATTCAGTAATATTTCATTTAATAAGTTCATAATGACTTCACAATTCATTTCAATTAATTCAATGTTAATTTCATTTGTAACACACGTATTTTGCGTTAAATAATTGGCAATAATTGCACACAATACATTAGAATAATGATCAAATTTCGAAAAAAATTCTGCAAATTTGCGAAACTAATTAATAATTAAGTTGTATTAGAACAAGTTTTAAAAAAATAGTAAAAAAAGAAAACAAGTTGGATTGGAAAATAGAAGAGATTTGAATGAGTCATTATTGTAAAACATCTCCGCCGTTCTCCTCCTTCCTTCCATTGTTCCACTTTTCCATCCTATCGATTGTAAATTTTTTTCCATTTCGTAAAGCGAACTTTGCTTCCAGCAGAATAACGCTTGAAAAGCGCGCGCACTTCATTATTTATTACTCACACTTAATCGATTTATACCTTTGTCGGTGGATTAATAATAAATTCAAAATTAAAGATTGAAATTAAAAAAAGGGACTAAAATTTTGTATTAAATGAAAATTACATTTTCAAATCACTAAGTTACGGGAAATGCATAGAACAATTTGAATGAATTATCTATTCTAATTATTTGTTGAATAAGAATAACGAGAATAGCTATGACGAAAAAAATCAATTAAAAATAAAATAAAAACCATGAATATTTAGAAGTGAGGAAAATGAAAGAAATAGTTTAATGAAATGAAACATAAGCGTTGGAATATTTTTATTTAGAGATCCATAATTGGTCCCACTTTTCTTCTATTTCATTAAACTGAAGAAATTGAGTAATAACAATTAATGAAATTGTCAGGTATGTTTAAAAAAGGAAATTAAAATGATCATTTAATGTTTATAATGATTACCAATAATCACTCTAACCAAGCAAATGAATAATTTCAAACTTCGTTATGAAATGACGCTGTTATTTACTCATTAAATTATATTCCAATTCAGATAAAACGTGTACCACCTGGTGCATATTACTCCCAAAGGAAATGACTGAAGGAAACGCCACATAATAGCCCATCTATCATTGATTGCACCTTTCTTACTATGTCTTTGTAAGTAGTTCAATGTTTGCTAGCGCCTTTGTGACATAGAAAAGCGGTGTTGCCTGGTTTATTAGCAGTAAAATCAAAGAAAAATAAATGACAGTCAGCAAAATACAAAAAAATGAACAAAGAGAACAAGCAAAATAAGAAAAATTGAAAAGTTTTGGTCATAATCTAAATAATGTAACAATTTTTCCATGCAGAGAGAAACACATAAGCTTCTTACTATTTTTCCACAAATAGTGGTTGTCTATACATATTTTAAACCCAGAATTGTATAAATAAAAAGAAGTTTGAATTTATATATTTATATATTTACACATGTAGCAACAACAAACCAACTTCGAAAACTCTCATATTCTCGAACTGGGGTAGTCTAATCAAAAAGTTTCAACCTTAAATTAGTATTTAGTAATCTTTTTTCCGAAACAAACTCTGAAAGTTGACTTAAAATGTTTAGATTGCACTTTACAGCATCATACTGGATCAAATCCGAATATGATGCTGCAAAGTGCAATCCAAACATTAAATGAATCCAAGTACTGCATCAGGAAGGTGACAGTTCTTCTTTCTTCATCGTCTCCACATCTTCCCCATCATATGACTTTTCATTAAGTAATACAAATTCGCGTGTGCTGAATCCAAATTTCAACACATCCTTCTCCCGCAACTCTACGAATCTAGACAAATTTATCATAAGATAAAAGATACAAATGGATGTGTTCACGAAAGAAAGCCAAAAGTAGAAACAGTTTGTAATAGTACTTGTTATCCAAAATTATTCCACTAAACTCAAAAGTCTCGTAACGCAATCCTATATAAAAAAATTCACCGTTGTGATTCGATGCGTTCATTATTTATATACGTGCCATTCGCTGAACCGAGATCTATTATGTAAGGACGTATACGCTTTACAGTTGTTCCATCAGGCAAATCCTTTGGTGTGAGACGATACTGAAAGACAGCATGCTGTTTCGAACAGCTAGGATGATCTACTGGGAGATCAGCGATTTTACGATCACGCCCGATAAGATATGCCGATTGTCGATGAATATATAACACCGGTAATGCCTCATCGCCCTGTGCCGTTCACAACATAAAATCCGAGGTCATACTATTTCTTTGTTTTATTTTGCTTAGTGCTAACATCACATTAAGGAGAAAAAAACTTCGAAATTTATAGTACTGATAGAATAGAAAAGTTTTAAATCTCAAAAAGACAAGACACCTTAAGTAATGAAAAGTAAAAGAAACTTTCATTAAAAAATATTAAAAATACTCATAAATATTAAAGATGGATATCATAATCACTACATTTTTCCCGAAATTCGGGCAGAAATTTGAAATCAACAAACAACCTTAAAAGGATAAAGACGCCAGCGTAATTTTGGTAAATGCGCATCAGACGGTTCATTGTATTTGATAACAACACCTCGATAAGTATTGGTATCTTCAGCCAATTTCCCACTTGGTTCAAAATTCGGTTTCTCTTTTTCGATCTTTGATTCTTCTTTGCTGCTGTGATCATCGCGAAAGTATTTACCAAATTGACCGCTGAAAAATATTTGCCTGGAATTAAAGAAATAGAAATTTTTCCAAGGAAATAAAAAATTATGTATATCGTTCGAAAGTGTATAAATATATAAGTCAAGATAGATTCAAGAGCGTTCAGAAAAATTTTTGAATTATTTAATAAATCGATGAAACTTACGATTGATCTCTGGTTACACTTTCGAATTTTCTTTCTTCTGCATTACTAGTCAATAATTTCTCATTCGTTTCATTGTCGAACTCTTTTTTCAGTCCTGCAATATAGAAAGCAAATTATTATTTACGAAAGAAGTATGTATCTGTCAACCAACAATTACTACACAAAACCTGTAATGGAAACGGAATCAGATAATGCAATTTCTTCAAACATAAAGTAAACTTGTTAACCCGCATAACGTCAGTCTGTTCTCTAAGGACTCTTGAAGAAGTCAAACTTGCGAATGGGAATCGAGAATAAATAAAACACGTTAAGGGAGAGGTCCAAATTATATATTTTGAGATAAGACAAACTAATTTATAGTAATCGAGAATATATGGGATAGACCCAAAAAACTCTTGCACCACTTATTTTCCAAAGCCTAAAAGCTTGACTTTTTCGCAATCCGTGCTTGCTGGATGAATCTCGACTTTCCTCCATCCTTTCCTTTGTATGACTTTCTATCCCTTCCTTTCCTTTTCTCGACATTTTATCATTAAAAATTCTTCCTGAAACATCATTATTATCTCTGCATCTGCGATGTTTCCAGTCCATAACACCGTTCCTACTTTCTTTTTTTTCTTTGTCCTGCGCATGTCGATTATGTTTTTCATTGCTGGTCCTCGAATCATTCAACCGACGCATTCTATGGTGACGAGAGTACTCCTTCTGGTTTTCCTCATGTCTACGACGATCAGAATCCTTCCAGTGAGCTACAAAACCACCTGAGAAGAAAGCAGTTAATATCATCTTTAATTTTATGAAAAAACTTCATTTATGCATTTTTTACCGCAGGACACTGCTAATCTTTTCTGAAAGAGAGGAGAAATAAAAAGTAGTTAATCATTTCTTTTTGCACTCATGTTATAATTAAGAAGAAACTCGTAACTTATTTGAGAAAATCTACTGTGATGTTAAAAATTGGATATTCAGGAAGCTATGACTTACAGCTGAGATTTGCTCCGCTACATATCAGGAGTTTAAATTATAGGCTATACAAAAAACTGATAACTACTATCTATAAATAACTTGTCCATAACATTTACAAGAATTACACTTAAGAACCCTGCGATCTTACTTGCATGAAATTCGCAACGAATGATAGAGACGATAAATTTTCAGATAAAGTCACCCTCATTCAAACAATCATATACGATAAATTTTTATGAACAATTAATACAGTCGACGATCCAACCAAAAAAAAGAGATAAAGAAATGAACCGTAAGAACTGGAGGAATGTGCCGGACGAGAGCGTGAAGAATGACCATGAGAAGTTGCTGGTGAGGTAGATCGGCAATTTCCTGAAGAATACGACTTCTCCGAACCACTTGAGCTATTATTTCTGCGCTTATCTGTCATCTGAAATTTGCAAAATCTGAATTTCATAAATCTATTTTCCTTGTCTTAACAAATCATAAGAATAGTTGGATTAATCTAATTTGAACAGTTTTTGCGACTAAAACTTCCCTTTTAGAGGGTGCTTAACAACCTTTGACCTCCCCCATCAGCATACCTCACACGGCTATCCCATTTCCTCTCTCGCACCTTTTAATACGGTCGCATTCTCTTTCTTCGTGAAAAGAAGATGCACTGCTGTTTCAAGAATTGCTGTCAAGCTGAGTTTCTTTGAACCTTCTATGTTGACAGTATAGACTGTAGCAACAACATACATCGACAGTACACTCTCTCTTCCCTGTACAGTACACCTTCGCTTCTGTACTACAAATATCTCCCAATTTATCAACCATAAAGAAATGAATTCACTTACAGTAAAAAAAAATGGAAAGTTTATGTTTTGTTAGAGAGAAAGAGAGAGAGAGAGAGAGAGAGAAAAAAAGATGAAGTGAAATGATAGGATTTATTAGCTTAATTATCACTGCTAATTGATTGATCAGCAATGTCCCATTTCTGTCATCATTGGAGGATATATAATGAAAAGAATCCACTTTGGCCTTAGTAAGCTAATGTCTAACCATCCTGCAACCCTATCCATGCTGTCATCATTCATTAGCTCTTTCCACTGCTTCTTCGCTTTTCACTCAGTCAGTGTCGTTCTGCCGTTTTTGCATGTTATTATAATCAATATTCATAGCCATTCAATATGATCGAAGATGTTTGCTCGACAAGTCTGGAAGGACATTTTTCATTCATAAGTCTGAGCATCGATTTTATTCATTTTAGAAGCTCAATTTTTAATTTTATTTTTGAGTTCAGATAAATGTCTAACTATTTTTTAGACAAACTAGATATAAAAGCAGGAAATTTTCATAGGTATTATACATCAAATTGATTTTAAACCTAAATGTGTGGGTTTGATTGCTTTTAAAACTGAACTATATTTTAATCAGTTGCAAGAAACTGCTAATAATGATAAAATGTAATTAAAAACATCGGGAAATATAAGTATGTAATTAGAAGTTATAGTCATCCATGAAATTCGAAAAAGTTAAAGGATGTTCATTTTAACGAATTGACTTCACTATGAAACATAAAGAATGAAAGCGAGGGAAGTGAAAATCCAAAAATATAAGACAGAGTTGAGACGAGAAGTTATATGGGAGAAGTGACATCATTTGAAAAATGTTAGATTAAGTTTCATTTTCAAAACAATTATTGGACAAATGGATGATCGTAAAGTAATGTTAACTAAAATGCAAAAAAAGAAACAGATAAAAGAAAATTTTGAAAAATGACGAGAAAGTAGAAGAAAGCGAATTAATGAAATGATTAAATAAAAATGATTTTGTCTTTGTCATCAGTGTTTTAAGAATTTAATTTAAATTATTGATCAGTTAGAACGCTCATAATGCGAAATTTTCCGTAGAAATTCATTAAATAGCACAAATTTGATATGTTAAATAGAAATTGAAAGCTGTGTGTAGCAGCGATGGCTTATACACGTCATTATGAATCCATTACCAGGTAATACTTTAAAATTATGAAAAGATAAAAGTTACCGTTTCTCACCTTTCTTTTCTACACAAATATAAGTTGCCTGCGATTACTTTAAATTTGTTCAGAGTAAATATTGTCTTGCACCAAAATTTACAGTGCCATAACCGATGTGAACTGCATCATCCAATTCATTCCTGCTAACAGTTCCACTTAGCTTTCTATATTAATAATACCAATACTTTGTTCTTTTTCCTTTGTTATTGTAATTATAATAATATTGGGTTGCTGAATATTTCAAAATTAATTGGTAATAATATTAGCATATCTGATTTAAGCGGTTTAAATTTCGATCGTTTTGTGGATCGATTTGATGAGCCTACACTGAACAAAATGCGCCAGCAGTATTGGACAGCTAAGCAATTAATCAGAAAAAAATTGGGGAGAAAGGTTAGTAAGGCTTTCCTTAGTTGCAAATAATAATACTGTTAGTTTTTTTTCCTTATTAGCTTATCAGTTGAATAATAAAAATTTTTTAAACTTTTAAGGAACATTTTGAAATTTGCTCATTAAATGAACACAAAAAGGCTAATTTTTCAGGAAGATGAACATTTGTTAGCTTCAGATGCGGAATTTGATACCAAAATAGCTCTCTTTCGGTTTGTTCAAGAAACATCTGACCAAATGCTTTGCTGCATCGATGATTATCAACATTATCTAAGCGGTATTCTTCTTACATCAATCAATCATAATTTATCCAAGGTTTTTAAGTTTTACAATTTCCACATTAGAATATTCATGAAAATTTTAAAAATTTGTTAATATTACTGTTGCGCATATATGTTCGCGCGTCGATCATGTTATGATTTATAACTTAAAATCTTGAAAAACTATCAATAAAGAAATGGAAGTTAATAATCGAGAAAGTAGCTACTGTTATCAAATATAACAAAATTCTTTAGAATTAGTGCAAGTGGAATTTGAATTGAGTAAAATGTTGAAAGAGAATGGTGGAGAGGAAACGACAGCCGCTGGGCGTGTTATGATCGCTGTTGCGAGAGTATTAACAATTTCAGTACATCATAGGTTATTTTTAAAACATTCTTCACTGCCTTAAATTCTCATTGTATTGTCGAGCAAAATAATACTTATCTCGTTTTCCAAATAATGGTCAAATTTTTTTGCCGGATGTTTAAAAAAACTTAGACTTTCAGTCATTTTTATTATTTCTTGTACAGATAATTAAAATTTTGTTAATTTTCTTTTAGCTAGCAGATTCACTCTTTTTTTTAAATAAGTTGATCTACTGATCTGGAGAGTTCCTACTGTATGAAGTAATTTATTAATAACTTGATTGCTAGATTACAAATTCGAAATCCTTTACTACGATTCTTTGGTGAGCTCCATGTTTTCACCGAAAGAGCCATCTTGGATTGTGCGGACACAGTGGATGCTGCGGAAAAGGCTAGGACTGAATATAGAGGATCATTATTATGGATGAAAAAAACAAGTAAAGAGGTTAAGAGGCTTCTACTTTGAACTGCTTGAGTGCTAGTCAATTTCTACACACTACTTAAAAGAGCTTATATATTTTATTTAAATGCTAGAGATTTGAAGTTCTTACTAGAGGCTTAAGTCTCATAGAGGTCATATCAGATTTCTGCAAGGCTTTATATATTCCCTCTCCCAGTATCATACGTTAAAAGTTTATCCTGCTAATATAGCTTTGTTTTCTCTTTATACATATATTGATTCTCTCGTATTATAGCTTGACCCCGATGCAGAAAATATTTTGGAAAAGTTTCGCACAGCACAGAGTGTTGTTAGACGAAATAAGGAGAAACTGGATAGTTTGAAATTGGATACTCTTCAAAAAGTAGATTTATTAGTCGCAAGTCGCTATAATTTGTTTTCGCAGGTATTATGCAATAAATTTCGTCTTCAAATTTCAAGCTGAAAAATAAAAAATCTTAATCATTCTGTTTTACTTGAAGCTCACTTCTTGCAAACTGACCTAATCGTTGAATCATTCTATTCAATCTGTAGCATTTCGTAGTAGCAATTAATTTTAAAAAACATACTTTAAAATGCTTACGTAAAGCAATCAATGAGAAGATTTCACACGAAAATGGAAATGGGCGGAAAATTTCTATATTATTCATACATCTGTTAGATTCTCAAACTAAATAACAATTCTTATCGAGAAATTTGTCCAAACGATTCATTTAGAATGAATTATTTTCTACATATAAATCATTACTTAGTGTTTGACAAATAATAGCTATGGATTGATTCTTCACGAGTCGTATTTCAAATTGAACTAAATGATTTGGCGATCGATATCATGAATGTCTTTTAGAAGGACCAAATGATACTCAGAAAATTGCACATTTAATTTTGATTTAATTTATGATTTAGATTAATAATTTAATCATGCTTTGACAGCTATTGGAATTGTATCAGAAATTATTATACAACTACTATGAGGAAACAACGTTGGCATATGAGAAGATTTATGATTTTGTGTCCACTCGTAAACATTACGAATTTGAAGTACTGACGGTAACTATTTTCTAAATTGGAAATGTCCTCTCATATTTTTACATGATCGAAAGTTTCAATTAAAAGATGACAAATAAGTGAAATATTTGGCGATTTCTGCAGGATTTGATTGAATCTTCAAAAGAGGTTGATTGTGAGAATGATGATCAAATGACAAATAATGAAAGGGAACCCGAAAGGTTGTTTATTTTTTCAATTGAACTTTGAAAAATTTCGAAAAAAATATGAATGGCAATAAAATTCTCACTTATTTCACTTATAGAACTAATCAATAACTGACCATTAAATATTTTTCAGTCTAATTGAGCTCGATCAGTGTGAGCAGGAAATGGAGCAAGTCTTGAAAGATTTGGAGAATTTGAATGGGCATGATTTACTGCATGATAGAATTGAAAGTCCACTAGGCCTACCAAAAGAAAATCAAAATGATGTTGATAGCACTGAACCAACATGCCATATGTCAACAGAAATATTAGTATCAGTTGAAGCACAACCAATCAATGAAGTATCAAATATCACAATCCCAGCTATACCTCCGCCACCAGGATGGAAGTCAAATAGAAATGGTAAACTTCACATTTTAATCTCATGATTATCTGAAATTAAATGAAACATCTCGGGAGCGCGAAAAAAAAGTAATGATGAGATCGTGACGTGAAATTAGTTACATATTAAATTGTTAGATTTTGATAACTTGTGATGAGATTTATCTTATTTTATTCAGCGGTTCGTTGTCCATCCGACCTCATGGATTTACTTTCCTTGGATGATACCGTTCCTGAATTAAACTCATTCGCATCTGACTGGTCAAAACTAATGGCAAATGTAAGTAGCACACCTGATGCAGTGACCACTTCATCTCCTCTTCCACCATCTTCAGCATCATTAACCTTACCATCCCAGTTGTTGCACTTTCCTTCAATGGAAAGTGGTTTCCCTAATCCTTTCGCAGATTCAACAGATCCGAATTTCGATGTAAGTTCAACTTTGCAAAATAATGGAAAATTATAGCTTGCATAGTAAGACTTTAATGAGTTTAGTTTAAATACAGTTTAAGTGTCTTTTGGCAGAACGTAAACCATTAAGTTTGCAGGTTTGGAAGGGATTTTTGGAAGAATTTGAAACAGCTAAAGTGAATAGCAATGGAGTGTTTAAAAATTGTTAACTCGGGCGATTGTCTTTTACAAAATCTCAAATGTTTATTTCATTTATGTTTATCAAGAAATAAGCTCAAATGCTTCTTAAGTTTCATGTGTTTCATATATTGGAACTGATGAATTACAGATGTTCAGATCGAGCCAATCCATTTATCTGTCTTTTTTCTTCTCTTTTACACATGAATGTGAATTTTTCATACGAAATTGCCGACAAATGAAAAGTTGAGAAATGTAAAAAATATCGTTTGGGAATCTCTTTTATTCTATGCAATATAAACTTTTTGTCTCATTCATTAAATGCTCCACATATTTCCGTTGGAAATTTTTCGAAAAAATTTAAATGACGAATTTTTCAAGTATATATGTCAAAAGAAATATTTTTTTGAAATTCCATAAGAGAAAAGATTTTATCGCGAAGACTATTATAAGTACTTCGGTTTTCGCTCCAAAATTTTCAATAGCGATTTCAATAAGCGCTCGTTTTCTTCCTGAATTCTTCTCTCTTCATCGCGCTGCAAATTTAAATTAGATTGTCGTACTGCCGCAGTTCACTTCAAAGAATGAAATTTATATAGAAATAGCGAAATCAAGCATCTTTAAATCTCCTATTTAATTTGTAGCGAGTTAGAAAATTCAAGGTTCGGATATTAGCGAGATATGAAAAGATTCTGAGTAATGAAATTTCGTAAAAAATGGGATGACATAGGGATAATTGAATTCCGATAAGAGGGAAGGAGTAGGGATGAGAGAGAAAAAGAAAGGATCTTTTGACTGATAACAGAACATGTAAAAAGATTCTGAATCCACTGGTCAGACTCATGAAGAGATTTCATCCACAGTAGAAATTCGGAAATCAAACTAACTTTCTTCCCTCAAATTTGACCGAGTGATAGTGATGGAGAGGACAAGAAGGGTTCAGATAGATTGTTGAAAATCTCACTAATTGAAATTTACGAAAAAAATGATGCAAAATTTTATCAGTGTCAAGGAATTCGAGAAATAAATAATTTATTATCTAGAATTTCTCATTGTTTGGAAAACTTATTGATGGAAAAAATTCAAAAATTTAGGTAATGAATGTGCAATGAAATAATAACCTTTTGTAATGACATTCTTGGACGTCCTGGCATTGACTTAGATCGAGGTCTGGTTTCAACAACAGGCTTCGCTTTCAGGATCTTAAAAATAGCTGAAGGGTGCAAATTTTAATAATTGAATTTTGAATTGTCAAAAAATAATTAAACTAAACTTGAAAATTAAAAAAAAGACTGTTCATCTTCTGAATGATGAATGCAAGGGTAATTTCGATAGAGTTAATCAAGCAACTCGTACTACTCGCTCCGCTTCATGAGAAATCGCATAAGGCAATAATAAGCTGTGACTCACAGAATCAACGAATTATGTAATGCAAATTTTATTGAATTTTTCATACCCTTTCTTTGTGTTTGATAAATTGATATAATCTCTCTTGATGTTGTAACAGATTACTCATTGCGTGTATCGTAGGTGTTGAAATATCTGAAATTACAATTACATGGAACAGGAGCCACATTCTCTAAGCACTGTCTACAACGAAATCAATTGAATTCATCAGAATTTGAAGTAAATGAAGAAAAAATAGAGATTATTAATCATTTTGAAACATTTTCCTGAATGTTTAATTCACAAAATGTATCGCATTGAAAATATTGAAAAAGATGATAGCTTATAGCTCAGGCCAAGCTGTGATATATTGAGTTAGGCATCACCATGGAAACAAACAAATGATTGTTGAAAGGAAAAGCGATATTTCTTGGGGAGAAAAGAAAAATTACGGTACCATCGTTTAAAATCCTTTTATCCATGCATTAATTGAATTTCTCAGATCATTTTCTAATCTTCCAATAAATCAAAATTGTTTATCAATTGTTATCAATATCATTATCGTTGTTATGTAATAAACAATCAAATTTGTTGAATTTAATAAATTTTTCTTTTTTTTAACAGATTTTTTTTTTCAGAAAATAGTAAATGGGAATATCGTTGACAACTATACTGTTTAAAAGTTGCTATATTTAAAATTAAACATATTCCATTCTTCCAATTGAATCGCTTATTTTGATGTGTTTCGTTCCACAAATTTCAACAGAGTGATTAATTAATTCAACGAGGAATTGTTTCTACTATAATTGTTAAAGAATTTGTTTTATGTCCAACTTCTTGCACAATAATAAATCATTTCATTTCGTTCAGAGTGCAATAAAATTAAATTCAAAATTCCAGCAAAGCGCTGAAGAAGTGTTGCTACAAATAAGTTCTAATCATAATTTAGTCTTATCTCGTCTTTCATCCTTGTGCTACTTCACTTCCTGATAGCCACAGACATTTCGGAAGTTTGACTAAAATAGGTTTCGAAGAAGAGAGAGAGAGAAAGAGAAAGTGAGAGAGAATGCCTTTGAAAGAATGCTCCCTCTCTTCTTACAAAATGCCATTCGATGACAAGTTAAAATGAATACATCATTCAATAGTCTTAAATGTGTGCGTTTGTCACCAAGTTTGTCACCAATCGTGCTGGCCGGTGCTTCCGCATTGCTTGTCATAAAAGTTGGAGAAATTGTATTTCCTTAATATTATCATTATCTCCCAATGCATTATTCTGCATCAGTTGTCAATCAGTTTTCTATTTCATAAACAAACATTGCATGAAATAATTTTAATTTTTTTTTTAAATGATTAAATAAACTAAAAAATACGTAAACTCATAAACAATTCAACATGGTAGTGTTAATTTGGGAAAAGATAAAACAGTTAGTGTCAGAAAATTAAATTTCATTGTTGCTGATAATTTTGATTTATAAATGTGCAGAATGCAATTTCAGCTCAACTTCAGAATTTCAACTTTTTTTACAAAATTGTTATTGTTTTCAGAATCATAAAATGAGAATTGAATCATTTAACTGATCTGGATCCATATTTTTTCCTAATATTTTAAGCAGTGATTTTACAATTACAATGCTATTGAATTCATCCTAAAATTCGTTCTGAAATAACAGAAAAAGAAAAAAAGTCCGAAATGGCGGTTTTGTCTTTATAAAAGGACAATTTTGTTATTAAAAAAGGCAAAAAAAAGAAAGAATGACACATACATAAATCAAAAACAAATGAATAACAAAGCTGAAAGAATTTTTAAAAAATGAAGAAAAATTGAAATTTTATTATGGTTTCCGCCATCCTACTCTTCTGCTTTCTACATTCACCCTTATAGGGTTATGACCTTGAAGTACTAATTAGTACTTCTGCCATGCGGAAACCATAATGATTGATGGCTGTTTAATTCATAATTAGTCTTTGATTTCTGACTAAATTTGAAAAAAATTTTCAATTTTCACGTGGCTAATTCGCGTTCTTTTGATTGATTTTCGTATGACACATCAATTTTATTTTTAAATGAATTCAACCAATCTAACCGGATGACACGACTTAAAATTTTCTCTCACATTCATTCTTTGCTCTCTGAACAAGGTGCTTTTAATTAGAATACTGCCAAAGTATTCAGTAAATTTTCCTAAAAGTTTTTCCTTTCATTTCTCATTCCAAAGGTTAACAATGTTGTGTTAAATGACTCGAGGATAATTCACTTCTTTTAATAAACGAATTGCACTATAGAAATTCTCCCATTTTAGTCCCAAAAAGATGGGCCAAAGAATAATGACATTTTTAATAATTTCAGTAATGCATGCATTATGCAAATGAAAATTCAGCTGCGTGTCAAGAAATCAGCTTTTTTTTTAATTTTAATAAAAATATCAAAAAAAATCCACGTTCAATTTGTAAAACTTTGCGGATTTTTTTTTGCAATTTAAATATTAGTATAAACTATGATAATACTGGAAGATAGGAACAAACAGAGGGCGTGGTAGGGATGAACAAACAGGAAGAAGAAGCCTGGGGCAAGCGATGCAGTAGGCTATTTTCCGAAATGATATAGGATAGTAAAAAAAAAGCTTAGTTCAACATTACATATAACTTGAGCATATGCAAGATCTTTCTCTCTTGTTAAGCCGGTAACCTGTAATTATATTTAGCCGTCACATGTTGCATATTTATGACTTCTCAGCAAATTTGCAAATTCTTATTGAATGATTATTTCTGTTGATGAAAGGAAGATGAGATTTTACCGGGCCTAGGAAAAATGAGACACTGGCCAGGGAAGTTAAAGAAATGAGGAAAGATAT